CGTTTGTACGTATCGCTTGACAGTTCCTTAAGCTTAATCCGCACTCGCATTGATATACTCGATGACGTATTGACATTGTCAGATGATATCAGTAAATGGAGTTGCAGAAAGGCAATATTGATAAGCTATCGGCAATATGGAAATCTCTCGCGCAAATCTGATCGGAATGATATTTTCAGGCGCATCTGGCAAGCACGCACGGATTTCGCGACAGTGCTTGACAATGGAAGAAAAATGAATGAGATAAAGAGGAAGAGTGTTATAACCTCGCGCGATAGAGATTTCATTGATCTCTGTTGGATCAGATGCGCCGTTCTTATTGTTAGTTCCGTTACTCCGAAAATTTTCTTTATTTACTTTACTGGCACGGAGACGCTAACATTTTTTATAAATTCATCTTTCTCTCCCTCTTTCTCTAATTTTTTCCCGCTCTCTCATCTCGAAATACAACGCGCAAACAAGTTCTACAGAGTTTCTACAGCGCGAGCTGGCACGGATTACTTCGACGCGACCGGATCTGCGTAATTTGAGATAATGCACTCGACAAGCGGATTGATCTCCACTTCCGAGCTGCGCTAGTCATTTCCCTCGTATAAACACCGTCGGCCGTCTGGCAGTAAACAACAACAGTTTACGTAGGGACGAAAGAAAGAAAGTAGGTGCGAGAATAATCTATCATTCAGAAAAAGTTAAAAGTTTCCCTGTCGTGTCTCGAGTGATGGTAAACAATGATAAAAAGACGAAAACTACTTTTAGAAAAGATTTCATATGGACTATAATAGACGATAAAAATATAACTTTCTACAAGAATTTAAATAAATTCTTTTGTCAAAGTATTTAAATGTGCGTTTGATAACGAAAAATGTAATTGAGTGATACTCAATTATTAATATTACATGGAAAGCTAGCAATAATGATTAGCGTTGGGAAATATTTTTTTAAGTCGAGAATTACATTATAAGAATGTTTTTTTCATCTATGCTTAATCATTCATGCTGATGTAACTTCGCAAATAAATTGCTCTATAATAATTTAGTAAGTAAATAATAAATGTACTTATTGACAGCTCTCTAAAATATTCTGTTCCTTGAGTATTCCGTACGAGCTCCTAAAATGCCAAAAGTCTCAATATTTCCACATGTTTAAACACAGATGAAACATGTGAATGGGAACGGAGCATTTCAAGAATGTCACATAATACATGCAGTGTCCCACTTCCTACTTCTACTTCCTTTTCAACCTAACATATTCCATTTTAAAAATAAATTTTTCTGTAACAAAAGTATCGCTTAAAAGTTTCTCAGAGAGTTTAAACAAACAAATCAAGTTTCAAAAATACAGACGAATATAATTTAATTTCGGGCCCATTTCGCTTCAATAAAATTTTAATCTACAATTTTATTATTACAATATTTTATTGTCCTTATATTGAGAAAGAAATGGCGTTTTTACCATGAGTTACATTTGAGTTACAGAAAAATCGATTTAATTTAAGATTTGAACCAAATGTCAAGTGTTTTAGAAAAGATACATTACAGAAGGAAGGGCCCTTAAAATAATTTGACCACTTAACAAACAATTAAATAAGATAAATGTCTCGAAAGCCAGGCAAAAATTACTGCGCTTAACAGAAATGACTGGCGGTTTCGTCGAAATTTTTTTTCAAGTGCTTCAGGGTCGACGTGGAGGAATGCTAAGCAGTACATCTGGAAACAACTAGTTTTTTCTCGAATCTGCGAGTACGATCAAACATTTCCGTTTCATCGTACTCCGAGAGAAACACTTCTGCACGTGGTCAATAACAGGAAACTTTGTTAACTTCGTCATTCGGTCGATTATCTAATGCTTGTAACTATTCAGTCTGGAATTTCTTGATCCGGTCTGACACTTTGATGTTTCAACAGTAAGATGAAACGTTCTTCCATTAAAGGTAATTTCCCTCGGAAAATATAATTCTCTCCATTTCGTAGAAATTTTATAAATGCTTCGTCGAAACTTAAAAAAATATGTAAGGTCACATAAGCTATTCATAAACTTTTTTTCAAACAAGTCTCGTCGATATAATAAACAGGAAGAAATATTGAGTAACGATGAGCCGAAAGTAAAACGTCAACCAATTAACATATTTATTCCTATCCTCTCGAAAATATTTTAAAAATTTAACAGATGTTGTTTTTTAAATTTAAATAAAATAGATTTTGTTTTTAAATTCAGCTTTTAAAGACAATTCCCAAACTATATAATATATGTTATGTATATAACTAACAAACATCGTCAGCGATAAAACGAAAGAAAAATTGGCAAACTTTTTACTGTCTGACAAAGATACATTATGCTAATTATTATCGAGCAACGAAGTCTACTTGACATACATATATGTATATGCGGAATCATTTACATATCGATAATCGAAAAAAGGTAAAATAATTCTTTTATACATCTATTTTCAAAAAACTTCGAAGAAAATAAAATTCCACTTCTGCTGCGTGGCGCCGATCATTTTTCTCACTCTTACTGAATATCGAATATCAATTACTATAAAATACGAATTATTGCAAAAGCTCTCGCTACGCGAGAAAATATCGAAAGCGATATTTTTCAATAAGCCTACGTATTTCTGTGATCCGAAGTATCGTATCTAATTTTAATTAATTTTAATTAATCGAACATCAATTATTCTAATACTTCCATATCGTTTATATTCGATATTGCAGCGATGAGCATTAACACACGATAATATCGCGATAATATCGATATTAAATTCAGGACTGTTGTGGCAGCACTTTTGCGGCTTTACTCGAATTGTAATTTCTGCCAAAGTGTACCTAATTAATGTTTCACGTATTCAATTTTATCGGACTGTTCAAAAGCCAGATGTTAATTTAGGTGAAAGAGTGTAATCGGTGAAACACCTTCGCACGCCGAAATGCAATTTATATAAGCGCGGGGGAGAAAGGGTTCGAACAGAGTGCTCGTAAAATCCCATTTTGCTTCATTAGGATTCTTTGATCCTAATAAAATCCGTTCAAATTTGCATTAAATAGAATATAGACGCGATTTATTTATTGACGCTTGCGGCAAAATGTGTATCGTATTATCGTCATCTGTGCAATAGCTCCAATCGCTACCTACCATTGTTATTAAATAAAAGTACGTATAAAGCGCAGTTTATCCCAAGTGATGAATATTTAACTAAAAATCCTTCTCTCCTAGCTACGTTATCGCGATGTTGCGCAACGTCGCCCGCATCCCGAACAGCAAAATTATGAAATATTCATATCAGCATTATTTCGCAAATTTATAATGAGATAAAATTATTACTGCTCTTGGTCCGCTTCGGAAATGAATTAGCCGTCATCGGGGCGCCTCGCTCGATTTTTTTTTTCCTATCGCAGTCGCGATAAGACGAGCATTCATCGAAACGTTGTCGAAAAGAGCCTCCGCCCAAGGATCTCTCTACGATCTCTCGGAAGTACCGCGGAGTCTCCGTAAAGCGGTAATCGATTAGTCCACGGAGAAACTTAACTGTTTCACCTCACAATGTATACACAATATATAGAGCGATGTACGAGGATACTGCACGTATTCGATAAAAGAGAGATGGAGGAACTCCTCGTCGCGGGATCGAGTTACATTGCGCTCGTGCTGTGTGTTTATCCATTCGAACTCGCGGGAGAGAGATCGCTGCGGACCACCACCATGCGAGAGACGTCGCGAATTTATCGGATATACACTAACGGACCCACCCAAATATCTCTCCCGGAGGACGACCGGAACGCGGTTCCTCCTCGCACACGATCGATATTATCCGTGCGATAACGTCGTAAATACCGTCTGTATAACTAACCGGGCTGGGCTTGCTATTTATTGGTAAAGTACATTGGCAAGAACATTACCGGCTACGTTGCTACGTTATGCAATACCGATATGCATCGACGATGCGAGGTTCTTTTGATGCTGCGCGCTACTGCGAGTATCAATGCGGGCGGGGAGTCATCCGGTTGAAGAAATAGACGTTTACCTTGAACTGTTTCTTTTTTTTTCCTCTCTCCCGCTCCTCTCTTGATAAAAATGTAATAGAAGTCTAAAAACTCCGCGCGCGATGTTGCATTGATAACGTGCCACCTTTGGCGCAACTGGCGCAAGCCGGTGTGAATGTGTGTATATGAAAGCGGTACCATCTTCGCGCAAATAATTAAGGCAAAATACGATCGATAGGTTTGCTCTTTTTAACTGCGATCTCGGCACTTGACACGAAGTAAATGTAACTTAATCGTTTCAGAAGAGAAAGATGAAATCAGGTACACGAAGAATTGAAAGAACACCGAGATATCGCTTCGTTGATAGGAAAGTGGCACAAATAAAAAATTAGCATTTTCTAAATAATGAAAAATAATCGAGTCTAAGACTTTAGGGTCGATTTCTTTTCTTATCTTAAAAATGCTAATTTTTTTCTTGTGACACTTTTCTATCAACGATGATGCGATGTGTAAGATTCGTAATTGGAGTAAAATCATTAAAAGAAAAAAAAGCATCGTGTGATTTTATGTTGCAAAAAAATCTCACCGAGTAATCGTGACATGTGAAATTAATTTATGACGAAATACAAGACTTCGTTGCTACATTTTGTACTATCTCCAGAGCCATGATCAAAGATTAACTTAAAAACGAATTAATTTATCCGTAAATTAGCATCCGAGTGTCAATTACGACGTAGTCGAAATAAGATGTCGCGATCCGTGCAGTCGTCGTCGGTCACGATGCGACCATTTAGAAGCTGTCATTGACGACACGCTATCAACACATAATCGCGTGAAAATTATCTTATCGGGAGCAACATCTCGCACGGTGCAACAACCGCTTAGGAACAATAAAACAATCGCAACGAATAACGTCCGGGGGAACGTCCGAAGCCATTTTTACAGGAGAGTCCACTAGGACCGTAGAGGAGTGGAAATTAAGGCGTTACAAGAGGTCAAAAGGCTAAAAAAGACACTCACCTCTTTGTCCGTTAAATCGACGAAGAAGACGACGACGACGACGACAGCGACGGCGACGGCGACGAGTCCAGCCAGCAGCACCTCGCTAGTCCGCCCACCGTCATTTGTGATGTGGATTCATTTACGCGTGTCTGCCGTGCCGGCGGCGACGATGATCGATGCCACGGGTCCCGGTCGCCTCTCCCGCACGAGTTCTACGACGCGAATCGTCGGGGCTGTCGTACGACGGCGACGACGACGACGGCGACGACGACGGGGAAGCCAACGACATCGAACGTCGCTGGTGGGCCCCCGCGCTTCGGTTCGCACTCGAAACGCGTGTTTACACGGCACCGCGCTCGGTCGCTTCTCACATTCCTCCGTCCGCGACGCAGTCCTCTCGCTCTGTCTCTTTCTCTCTCTTTCGGCCGCCCGCTCCGTCCCGCGGATGCGAGACTCGTGCGCCCGCTGATGGATCACCTCTTCTTTCTTGACGCAACCGTGCCTTCCTCCACTTCGTAGCGCTCCGTATTCTGGTCTCGTCTCTTTCTCTATCTATCTCCCTCCCTGTCTCTCCTCCTTTCCTCTCCCTTCCTCCACACGTCGGGAGGCTACCTCGCCCACCCGCGGTCACCCTTTTCCTCTTTGTCTATTTGCTGCCTGTTCGTCGTGCCGCGGCAACACTAGGCGCGTGCAGTAGGCGACTTCCGGGCACCCTCCTCGCCGACGATGACGACGGTGCGAGCCGCGAGCGCGCGACACACTTCCCACTTTTTTTCTCACCTACCTACTCCACACCTCCACCGCCTCTCTTTCACTCCTCCTCACCGTCAATTCGCCATCGCCCGTCTCGCTTCCTCACGTAGGTACGTACAACCGCGCGCGCGCGCGCAAGAACACGCATGGGCGCGCAGACACATGAGCGCCGCGCGCGCAAACACGCACGTACATAGGAGAGCGCACCTCTACGTACACACGTCGCCCGCTGACCGTTTCTCCGTTTTTCCGTTATTCCCTCGCTCCCTCGAGTCGTCGCACTCCCGCGAACGCGCCGCGCTGAGATCCGGGATCGCGAATTCCCCGCGACCGACGTACACAACACTGGATCTCGCGCGGATTCCCTGTGGTTCTCTCTTCCCCCCTCGGACGACGACGGCGTGAACGGCGCGAGGAGACGACAACACGGCACGACGATGATGACGGGCGTGCGCGTACACACACCCGCGACGCGGTGACACACGAGAAAGCTGGTGGAAGTGTGGAACGTACTCGGCACAGTCGACGACACGACACGACACGACACTCGGGGGACGCGCTCCCAGCGCCAGCCGGCCGTCCGGCGCCACTGCCATCTCGCGGCGAACTCGGGAACTCTGTCGCGGATCGCGGTGGCGCGAACTATGAAGCTTTCGGCCGGAATAATTCCAGTCGAAATTTCAACTAGATACAATAAATTATTAATAAACTGTATGTGAATGCATATCTTGATGTAAAAACGTAAATAGGAAAGCGCGATCAAGATACAAACACATAAAATCTCTCTCGTTCTATAATTTTTTTTCATCCCATCTCGCGTTCAATTTTGCGCCAAATATCTCGACTTTAGCCGGATCAAAAGGAAACAACGTACTGATCCTAAATTATGCACGATCTCCGAGAATTTTATTTTATTTTCCTTGATAATATGGTAATGTGTAACATACCATTTTCAAGTAATACCATCCAAGTAATACTGTTTCTCGTTGTAATTGCAATATTCGTAGAGAGGGCGTTACTGCAGCTCGGTGATTTTTTTTAGATAAATTTTTTGCTGATTTTAAGAATTTTTGTATTATCTTTATCTTTTAAATTATCAAATACACGTTATTACATACATAATTAAATATATAAGCATATTAATAAAATTTTTATTGAGAATTGATCAGTTTTTATTTTTGATTGTGAACGCAGTTAATTGTTGCAATTTTTCAGTATTAATTGCTGGCATTAAAGTGCGATAAATAATTAAAAAAAAACAAAAGAAAAGAAAGAGAAAACATAAAAAGTGTAACAATGTTATCATAATTATATTTGGATAGCGACGATATTTAACGAAAATTAGCTGATAGAGTTTTCGGTCGGTTAAATCTCTATTGATGACGTTCTGTGAATTCCCGCGTGATGTCGTAAGATATGATATCTAATATGACACAGGCATGTGAATGCGTTTGATAAATAACATAATATGCGATGGAAAATGACGTTTTCTTCACAAATGGTAAGCCTGATCGAAATATTTACTTATCTAATATTTCATGTGCATCCTATATCCAAATAAAATTAAAATATCAAAATAGTCTTACAATTGATTTAATAAATAACGATGACTTTTGTATGATGCATTCGTAATATTTCCGCAGATTAGCATTTAATATTATCGAGCTGTTCGTTGAAAAATATACCCAAGAAATACTTTCGCGATGAAATACGATAGGCGTCGATGTGTATATACTCGGCGAAACCAGATTTACCGATTCGGTGAATATTACAAACCCAGCCATGTTGATTTTGCAGTTACGCAACGTACGTCATACGTTTCGGGCGATGCGATGAATATTTAATTTTATTGCTCGCTTGTAAATTCGTATCACACGTGTACGCAATGTAAAATAAATAGTCCGATAATATACAAAAACTATATATGACGCATAAAATGTCGTGTACGAGTTTATTGCAATTAATCTTCGTCGTGCGCGAAAAATGATAAAAACTTTTGCGCGCCAGAATTACCGGTAAAATCTTGAAAGTACTTATATTGGTATTTAATTATAGTATGAAATTAAAAATCTCTTCTATAAAAACTACTAATCTCACTGTTATCAGACGCTATATACATTTGGCAGTAGTATACAAAAGGTTCTTTAACTGACAGCGCGAGAAGTAATTTTCGCTTTTATTTTATTCTTCGACCTCACGCCTCACGCATACATGCTGCACAATTACTTTTGCGTATAAATAAAACACAAATCACCTCAGTAAACATCGAACGTAACTGCCATATAACATACATAGATGTAACACGTGAATAATGATACGTTTATACATGCTATATAGCAGTTTATATGCTTGCTGGGATAGCTTATGAGATTTCGCACATGACTAGTCTGCAAGAGTTACCAGTTAAAAATGTATTACTAAATAAATTTCATTTCCACATTTATTACTATTCAACGTAAACGTACTTTGTATATACCTAACTTGAAAATCGCAAGACAACGTACAAAATTTTAATAAAAAATTAAATTACACCAACAAATTGCTTCGATTAACTGAACTCTTATTCTATTTAAATCACGAATACGATTTTCAATTTTTATTGAGAGTTATTGCAAAGAGCCCAAATGAAATTTAATTTGATTATTTAAAATGAATTACGTCGCTGCTGACCGGGCCTCAAAATCCCGTTGGCATGGAGTTTAGGTTCACCAATGACCGTAATATGGTGTGCGCCCTTTACGACGAGGTGATGGGTGCGCGGGCAAACCGGCAAGACGCCAAGATCAGCTCGCCAGCCGCGCTTTCCGGTTAGCGTTTTATAAATACTGCAGACAGGCAAACAGTGCACCGAACACGGCAGACCAGTCGTGAGATCATTCGAGGTGCGTGGCCGCGACGATTTGCGCGACTTGCGGGAAAGAGAGAGAGAGAGAGAGAGAGAGAGAGAGAGAGAGAGAGAGAGAGAAAAAGATATCGACTTTTGTACCTCTCGACGTGGATTCTCCAGACGCGCGCGTGTCCACGTTTTCTGCGGATTTCATCCGCGGATGTGCCTCCTCCCCCTCCTATCTCCCTTCCGCACCCCCTGCGGACGAAGACACGCGTTCTCTCCGGTGGTGTTAATTGTGCGCCTCTCTTCGTGCCTGCAAGTGCTTCCTCGAATCCCGGCGTGCGGACGGATTACGGAAAGCGGGGAGCTGCACGCGATCCGTAAATTTGCATGGACAACCCCGTACTGTGCGTGCCCGCGTTTCCGTGAACGGCGCTTACATAAATAACGACGAGGAACCACGAGTTCCATCAACCGTAAGTCCGCGTTCGCCGATACAAATGGGATTTAAATAAAATGCATTTATTGATAGGTGCTCTTGCGGATGTTTATTCGATTTTCGTATGGAAGTGCCTTCCACAAGAGACAGAGAGAGAAGGAGTATTCTTATACTTTGGGAACAAGGATTGTGGTTGTCGAATTAATGATTGGATAAAAAATAAATTTAATTAGACCGCTCAAGAACAAAATAATCGTAAACGTCTGACGTTTTAAATTGTATAATTATACTGAATTCTTGCATATAATGTGGTGTATATCTTGACGGGATGAAAGGAATTGACACACGTGCACGCTATTTATTTTTATTGGCCGAACAAAGAGTCACAATTAAGAATACCCGGAAATACCGCTTAATCGCTCTATTATTCACGAGTGTTGCAAAACGCCTTTACGTCAAGGAGGAGCAATTTCCAATTGCTAGAAATGTTTCGGAAACGCTGATCTTGTATCTATTGTCGATGGTTGCGATCTGCCAAATTATATGTATACATATAATATACATACGCCGTGTGCATTCCTCGTGAAATTCGTATAGCCACTCTCGCCCAGCGTCTTGCGCAACAATTGTACACGGTACAAAAATACTAGCCGGCGTCCGGCAGGGACACACGTATGTACATACACTGTACGCGGAACTGCGATTTTACGATCGTTTCTACGGTCGGTCCTCCCTCGTCGTAGATAAAATGTCGCGTCGTTAGACTCTCGTTTTACGGCGGGGCACATTCGTTATGATTTCCATCGTGTGTCCCACTTCTCACCTGTATGTATAACTACCGCCGTAACGTCGGAATCCTTTGTCATAATTGTTATCGTGCGTGCACGTGCGCCGCGACGCGCGTAATTCGTGCCAACACAGAGTGCGAATATTCGCTGTAACACACGATTGTCTCCATTAGTCTACTCCTTTCATCGGATCAACAATCATGTGTCATTCTCATACGTCGATCAAACGTTTTGCAGGAACGTTTTGGGGATGCGGATTTTGACGAGCGGGACTCTTTCGGGACGATGACCGATGACACAACTGCAAGATTTATGAGCGACGGGATGTAACGTCTAGCCGTCGCAATTGAGTCCGCGCGTCGAACCATAAAATCTATATATTCTCGGGTAAATAAAAAAAAAGCTGTGAATTATCGAGATGAGCGGAATGAAGAAGGCGATCGGAGGTTCCATTCACAGAATACGGGAGTTCGAGCTCGAGAAGGTAATGCCATTCTTTCCGTGTCTTCCGTTAGTCCGCCTCCATGAAAACCGGTCACAATTGGATTTTCCTTTGTCAGCCGTAGCATTTCCCTAAAGTCCCCCGCGCTTTTCTCCCGAGAATAAAGTCTAAACAACGGCGTCGGCGACGGTGGCAAGCGGAGCGCTTTTCCAGCTTCGAGACATTGAGATCCCGAAATAGGATTCGCGAACGAGCAGCATTTCATTATGCTCGCTCGAGTAACGGCCATTCTCCTGCCTGGCATTGCACCAATATTTCCCTAACAGAGGATCCGTGACGACGACGACGACGACGACATTTGCGACCGTGACTCGTCATCGTCATCGTCGTTGTCGTTGGATCATTTCGTGACTTTCTCTAACACTGAATCATAGCTTTGCTGTGATTACGTTCCTGACGATGACGCAGAGTCTAAATAGAATTTGAGTTTCATTTGACCGGAAATAATTTAATTTCAGGCACGCCTTTAAATATCTATTTCATATAGAAGGCGTTCCTTATATTCCGGTAACAGCAATTTATTTATTTTATACAGGTTTGTTAAAATCCAGGAAAATTAATCTGTGATACTTGAGAATTAATTAAATCCCTCTCGATTGACTTTAATTATTATTATCAGTTTAATTGATATGTGTTTACGGACACAGTTCGTAAGGCTGAACAAATCGAGATTTCGCAATATCGCATTTATATTTAGGTATATTATATCAACACGCGCCAAAAATTTTCTATTATCAAGTATCAGAATTAAAAGCATTTTTCCATTTTTTTTTCAAGCAAAAATTCGCAACTTTTATTCGATTCTCGTCTATATCTAAACGACGTGACGCTCGCTTGCAATAAGATATGTGATTGAATGAAATGGTGCTAAGGGGAAGCCGTCTTGTGTGTCGAGTTCACATCGGGATGAAAACGTGCGTTCGAAGCGTGCGTTGGAGTAAAAATAGATAGAGACGTTGCGTGGAGATCGGCGAACGGGTGTAAGAGCGTCGCGTCGTATTCAGCGCGTGCAGCGGATAACGCACCGTCGGCTTCGTCGCGTCGTCGTCGCGCTCGCGGGATCCCTATATATTTCCCATCGGGATTGCATTTCCCTCGTGACACACACACACACACCGTGTGTATGCGTTCGCGCTCTTCCGTCCTTTGTCCCGCGGCTCTCGGGGGTCTCCTGAGTTTTGAGCGTCATTACGATCCGACGAACCGGCGAACCGCGCTTGGGCACTTCATCCGTCATTCGCGGCTCGAAAAACAGCGACGTGACTCTCCCGATCGATCACGGGCCACGTCATGTGCGGCAGCGCGTCGAGGGCTAACTATTCTCTGGGACAGGTGAATCTGATCGAAGAGTTCGACATCCTGCAGATCGTCGGCGAGGGATGGTTCGGCAAAATCCTGCTGACCGAGCATCGCAGCACGCAGACCGAGATGGTGCTGAAGGCCCTGCCGAAGGCGTACACCGGCATCACGGACTTCTTTCGGGAATTTCATTATGGGTTACATCTGTCGGCGCACAGAAACATTATAACCACCTACGACGTGGCATTCGAGACGGCCGGCTTCTACGTTTTCAGTCAGGAATATGCCCCGCTCGGTGAGACATTTATTTTACGACGCTCCCTTGCACGTGCGCGCCCCCGACTTTTTATGCACCTTACAAATCAGGCGCGTTCGTTAAGTTTTTTTTAGTTCCGTTCGTTTTTATAATTCCGCTGTGCAATCTACTTAATCTTATAATCGCGTAAATTGGCGCATGCAGTAACATTTTAATTCAAAGTAAGTTATAGCGTTTTGTTTCACTTCGACAAATAGTCAAAATTATTTACGAGTGTATGTGATGCTATATCATAGGAAATTTATTAATTATCGTAAAAGAAATATATTGTACTTAAAAAAATTAATTAAATTCACTTTTGGAGAAATAATGTTTTGATACCATTATTACATTTATAAATATTATCTATGGCTAAAAAGTATTCAATTAATTCAATTCACAAATATCTATAAATACCTATATAAAATACTTTCTTGTCTAATTATCAAACATTAATTTATATATTTTTCAAAATAGAACAAGTCGCGCTGCATATTGCAATACACAATACGTTGTATAAAAAAATGTATACAATTGAAGGAGCAAGTGTAAAAATTATGTATATAAATTATATATAAAATCGTATCAATCTGGCATTTACCGTTGATGCAATTTTACACACTTCTTTTACCGTGCAACAAGGTAGAACAATATTATCTCTAAATATTTTCCGAGAAGTGCAGTGTCATTTATATAACACGATTGCCATTGCAAGGAACATGACATTCGCGTTGCCATTACGCGAAAATACATCTCAGTCATCCGTGTCATCGATTTTCAGGCGATCTCACGTCGAACGTGACGGAGACGGGGTTGGGCGAGCTGCACGCGAAGAGGGTGGCCAGGCAGCTCGCCGCCGCGGTGCATCACATACACAGCCGTGAGCTGGTGCATCGCGATATCAAGCTCGACAACGTACTCATATTTCGCAGCGATTTTTCGCGCATCAAGCTCTGCGACTTCGGCGAGACTAGGCGGGTCAACACCGTCGTGCGAAGGCACAACGAGTGGCTGCCGTACTCGCCGCCTGAGGTATTGCAGATCGACACTGACGAGACGTACAAGTAATTATAAATATACATATGCTGTGATTGATCTTATAATAAGCTGCATATTTTTGTTGTTGTCGCGTGATTTGTAATGCGTTCAGAAAATTGAAAGAATGAAAGAAGGTTAAGGGAAAGTAGGATAAAATCATTTACGGACGGATCTTATTTTCGGGTATTACGATGTATGTTGAATATGAACCTATCAAAGAGCATTTTGTACTGCTCGCAAATTTACGAGTGAGAGAAAATGAGCGTTGGATTTTATCCTACTTTTTCCTGCGCGTCTTTCTTGAAGTTGCCGAATTTTATTTCTTCAACGCTTCGTATCCGAAATTTTGGTCGAATATCAAAAAGGCGACTGGGTGCGTATGAATGATACTCGAGATGTAGTACGGCCACGGTCGCCGAGGATATACATTCTAACGGCGACGGACGAATGACTTTCAGAGCTTACAAGTCGCACGACGTCTGGCAATTCGGCATTGTCCTATTTGTCTGCCTGACCGGATGCCTGCCATGGCAGAAGGCGGCGATGGACGACCCGCGCTACACCAGATATCAAAACTGGCACAACGCGACGCTCAACATCGCCAAGAAACCGAAATTATTTCAGCTGATCAGCTCGCGGGCGCAGAGGTGAGTTTCCACTCGGGAATGCGAGATTAAGCGCCATGTCGGCGTGCATCTCGAGCACATCTGATAGATACAGTTATAGTTGTTATTCATTCACTTTTCTCACGCACAAAAATTTATCTTGTTTAGAACTTCGTGGTCTCGATTAGAGTTTCTGCTTAATGCTTGCTTATACATCGCCTGAAAAATGACGCGTTTCTTTCCACATTTACTAGTTATTGCCATAAATATTGCTACATGCTTCGATAGTCGAACGGTAAGACATAACCCAGAGATCAGGAAGGTCCAAGTTCAAATCCTGGCTGAGATAATATTTTTCATTAGGTTATTCTACTGCAGGGTTTAACAGATGCCTTTAGCATAAAAAATTATTAAATCGCTTGTCAATTTAATTGTGATATTACGTGATCCGGATTCAGTTAGAGAGCTGTGTTTCAAGACCGATAAAAAATATTCGGCGTGTAGTTTATCTGAACTGGAAATTGTAAGATTTCACTTCAATCTTATTAAATAATAACTTTCAATAATAATATTATTATTGAACACCAAGATCCGCTTTAGGCTGCATTTTATGTTTTTAAAAATTTATCTTGTTTTGTCATGCTTGTTATCTCTTGTTTATTATCACAAATTATCAAGATTATCGTTGCTCGTGACTAGAAATTTATCTTATAATAGATATAATTTATCTTGTAAGACGTGACTAGGCGACTAGGAATTTTATCTTATAATAAGGATTTAATTACACAGTGATAATGCGACAAAGCTAAATTAGTACTTTGACATTTATTAAAGAATGTTCAAGAGGCTGTTGGACCCAAAGGCTGAAAAGCGACCAGTCAGCGTGTTGGAAGTAAATAAATATTTAGAAGACAGATGGCTGGCGAAACTCGGGGCCGAAAAAGCGTTGAACGGTCAGTTGACTTTGCATCGCGATAGTATTGGCGATACATCACGGGATATCACAGAGCGATGTATTTCTTTTTATATATCTGCAGGCGGCGCCGACGAGAGGGACGAGCTGTGTCCGTCTATGTACAGCTTCCACAGTTCCTTGGAGGAGAAGAATCAACTTCTCCACACTCTCACGACGTACGGCATCGAGACGACGGTGGACCACTCGAAGAAGAAGGATCGTATCAGGGAGTGGATACAGGCTAGCGCGATCGTTGAGGAGAACGAGGAGGACGAGTCGGATATTTACGAGGACTCGGAGTTCTATGAAGATGAAGACAGGGAGAACGACGGGAACGGAAACGAGGAGGTGGAATCGATCTCCATGAGGGGCAGGCATTTTCCGGAGAGGCGTCCGAGCGCCGCGATGAAGGATCCCAGAAAGAGAAGAGGCAGCAGTAGAGTCCCGACGAGTCGGGTCGCGTCGAAAAACAGAGCGCCCGCAAAGCCCGTCGAAAGGAAAATACCCTTCGCTCCTCAAGTGGCCGAGGAGCGAGAAACGATCGCGCGCTTCGCCAGCTTCCCCAACGGCGATCCGAATCTCGCCGCCGCAGTAAGTAACGGTGGCGGCGATCGGACTCACGATCTTGCCGCAACCTCGGTAAACGTCGCGTCGCCCGCGACGACGAATAATTTCGCCGCGAGCAATCAGCTTCAATCGTCCGCGCCCAGCCCTAACGGCCGACACGTCACGGATCCGGCGAGGACCAGCGCTAACAATTCTCGAGACGAATCACCGCTCTCCGCGCAGCCAGTCAGTGCCGTCTCTGTCAAACAATCACCGCCCAGAATCACGGGCATCCCGGAGAGCGGCGGTAGAGTTGTACCGATGAGCCCGCAAATCCCGGCTAGAAAAAATCGCGCTCACACGGCGCCGTTTTTGGACGCGCGGTCGGTCGAGGCTCGGGCCGATCTAGCGAAACGGGCGCAGTCCGCGACAGTTTTACGGACGTCGGAAACGCCGGAGGACCCGCCGTTACCTCCACGTGCGTCAGCAAAGACGTCCGGTTCTCCGCATCCGACGACAGCTCGAACGGACAATCCCTCCGCTGCTACGTTATCGACTTCGCGAGCGGCGAGATCAATCGCTCCACCGGTCGCGCGAGCTGACAGAGCACCCGCGGCGCCGATAATAGGCAACGCGTCTCTAGCCGAGTCCCAGCCTCCTAATAGCGCTCTCCCTGGCCGAGTCGAAGGCTCGCCGCCGACCGCGACGCAAGTCGCAACCTCGGCCGCTTCTCACTTGGCAATGCAGAGTTTCAACGCGCTGCAGGGTATCGCGGGCGCACCCTCGGCTGCCGCCTCGCCGGCGACCGCGTCGTCGAGCACGAGCAAACCCGGTCAGCGGGCCGAGAAGGCGAACGTGACCTACGGGAAAGACGCGTACGAACACTACGGCATCGCCCAGGGGATCGTACTGCCGATGAGAGTGAATATCGTTAGGCAGGATTCCACTGGCAGCGGTAGCCGATCTGTGAGCAACTGAGATACAAACTGGAGGATATATCGGATTTTTCTTGAGGTCGACGACGAGGAGGTTGAATCATTCGCGCAAATCGCGCTAGTCGCGATGCCAGTATCGATTACTGTATCTGTAATACAGTACTTGAAGAAGATGTATTGTTCAACTTGGACATTATGAACGTGATTTTCTGAAGAGATTCAACACAAATTGAAAAAGATTGATGAAACACGAAACGCATACATTTGCGGTTCGTGCAATATTTTTCATAATACATGTATATAATAATACTGATGTCGTTGATATCGCTTCGATCAAAGATTGCCGAGAGTTCCTTCGGAAACGTGTGTTGATACAAGACGTCGCGATGTTCGACATGTACGAAAGGCAAAGCCGTCGCGTGAATAATGTTACAACAGAACGCGGATGGAGACGTCACGTTATCGTACATTATACTTCATTAGTTTCAAGAGACACTTATATCGCCACGTGTCGCTCGCTTCACCAAGCCTAACGGGATAAAATTAGCGCGGCGTCTCGGGAAGAGTTGCACCGTGCGGGAATGTTCCCGAGGCCATTAGCGCTCGGCCGTGGGAAACGCTGAAAATTTTCATTGTCCCAAAAACGTGACGCGAGTCCGCGCGCGTTTCGTTAACAGCTTCGCTTTTTAATTACAAATTTCTATTGGCACACCGAACATTTTTCTTCGAGAGCAGCGTGCAGAGGGAAAACGTAGCCGCGGAATCAGTTAATTAGATATTTATATTTGTTTTGTGATATTAGAAATCATGTGTACTATTTGGCTGACTATGCATGTAAGTGCAACAGATTTTGAGAGATGCGAAATGCGGGAAAATGTAAAATATACATATAATGATTTGTACATTAGTACTCTAAAGAGTCTAAAGGGATGTTACCTCTGAGAGGTAATATTTGTTGTTTTAATATTTTAAATTTTTCGTATTTAAAAGGCTAATATCACGTATTAAGTGATACAGTTATATTACAATTTTGCTCGATGTGATTTGCGATTATTATCTAAAAACAACATGCAGAAATAAACGTAACGTCTTCACAGAGAGACACAACGTTTGAATAAATCGTATCACGATACGCGTTTCAGACATATACGCTCTTGCTACTGATATGTAAACACGTGGATATCGGATTGCTTGTGCTAGCTGTTATGTTATCGTACGGTTTATTTACAGAAATACATATACCGTATATATTTTTTCCATTTTTGAAGCAGAATAATAAAAACAAGAACGATGAATTAATATATACACGCGCGTATTAATCCTTTCAAGATGTATATACGAAGCCGGCTGTTTGTTATCGATAATATTTTGGCGATCTGATTGTCAGGTAAAGATATATACAGGCGTCGCGGAGTTGCTAATTAGATTATTGGATGTTCGATATTACCTGATTTGCGTGCGGGGGCGGCCGTGACTATTAGATAAGCTTCCTTCGGTGGTAAGTTTCGCTTAAACTCCGACACCGCTCGATGGAAGCAAGAACGACGCAAGGATGCGTCGTGAACGCGGGACGGAAGGGGGGGACGAGAAGAGGAGCAGCTCCAGGGGAGAGCGCGCGTTTGGCGATGTGAAAGTAATTCCCAGGCGGGTCGTGGCACGAATTAATTAAGAGATTCGTAAGTAACGTATATTGCGCAGGAGGCGCAATTACCGTCGTCTTTGACGCCGAGGAGTAACGCGGTGGCGTGCGAAAGATACCGGCGGACCGTCGGCGCCGAAAGTAGTTTGTTGTTTATCGTTAGGAGCTAACTGGCGGAATATTACGACGCGACCGCGACTCGTCGGCGACTCGAAAATTCTTTGACGTGCGCGTTAATTAATGCCTAAAGTCAACGTCACTCGCGAGGGGATTACTAATTGACACTTCGGACATCGTGACAGAGTTTCGCCCTCGTAGCGTCAGCGTGATGATAAGTTTCTACAATTCAACAACTCTCTAAATTTGAAAACAGTGGATAGTCACTGATTAATGGTTATTCACTGAATGCATC